TTGCTTTCTAGTTTCACATTGCACTGCAGTTAAAACCGTTTTGAAAAGCATGTGTTCTCATGAACTTAACAATGGAACATATAGTCCTTGAGATTTGGCTGTGGTACAGAAGGGAGTTGACCAAAAGCCACTTGCCCTTTCTTGATTTAAAAGCAGAACTCCCATGTTTAAATTGGCAATGCGGCTGCTCAAATTTTGTTGTTGCTGTTGTTGTTGCTGCTGCTGCTGCTGCTGTTGTTGTTAGGTGCCTGGAGCCAGTTCTGAGGCACAGCGACCCTCTGCACAACAGAATGACATGACTCACTGCCTGGTCCTGCACCAGACTCACTATGTTGGTCTGGGTAAACTAGAAAAACAAACCCACAGAAACTCAACATGTATAAGAGAGAGTTTTATACAAAGGGTAAATGTACATTCAGAAAGCATCCCAACCCTGTCTAGCCCAAAACCATAAGTCCAACTTAGCCCATATGACCAACACCGATCTAAAAATTCCTCCTCAAACTCACAAAACACAAGCAATGATGCCGAATACAGGAAGATCACAGGCCAGTGGGTAGAAAGTCTTTGTATTCAGTGGCGGTGAAAGCATCTCAGCGCTGGCTGGGGTCTCTACGCAGCTGCTCCAGCACCCAGGGCTGCATCGGGGTAGGTCCATGTGGCTTCTCCTCAGCGATGTCTTGCAGGAAGTGAACCTTGCCAGCTGAGGCAGAGAACTGGCTAAGGCAACTACACACTGGTCTGACCATCGGAGAGCAAGAGACCAGAGAAGTAGAAAGGTGAGACTCACGGAGCCATTTCTCGCTCCACCTTTCAATTAACCCCACATGTGTTTATTGGCCGGGTGGGCACAGTAAAACCTAACTGGCACACTCACAATATGCTGGAGCCCATGGTTCCAGCCACTGTGTCCTTCCATCTTCCCGAGGGCTTTTCTCTTTTTTGCTGCCCCTCTGCTTTACCAAGCACGATGTCCTCCAGACTGGACATTTCCCAGACTCCTCCTTTGTGGTTAAGTGGCAGCCAATGAAATGTGAGTGGAAGTGGTGTGGGCGACTCTTGAATCAAGTACTTTTTAAAAAGTACTGAGTATGCATTCCCCTGGCCATTCCTCCCACCCTTCCCGGGCACAGATGCAAGAGCTCTGCAGCACTTCAAAGGGTGTCCAAAAGGCACAGTATCCCTGATATCCCCGGGCCACCCACCTCTCGTGTTATTTTTGAATAGGGTTATGCTTTTGAGCACTGTATTTTGGATCTCCTGAGCCTTGGTGACACTGTGGGTGAAGCACTGGTGCAATAACAGAGGTTTAAACCCACCAGCTGTTCTTGCCTGGCAGTAGAAAGATGAGGCTTTCTGCCCCTGTAAAGATGTACAGGGTCACTTTTGAGGCAGTATTGATTCCATGCCAGGGAGTTCTTCCTTCGTGGTTGTTTGGTTTTCAAAACCTGGTGGCACAGTGATTAAGTACTTGGCTGCTAACCAAAAGGTCGGTGGTTCAAACCCACTAGCTTATTCTGCACGAGAAAGACATGCCAGTCTGCTTCCACGAAAGACAGCCTTGGAAAGGGAGGCAGCTCTCATCTGTGCAGTCAGGTTGTTATGAGTCCAAATTAACTGTTTCAGCAACTTACCAAACCCAAATCCACTGCCATCACGTCGAATGCAAATCATAGCAACCCTAAGTGTAGGGTTTCTGAAATGGTCCTTCTCTATGTGAACAGACAGCCTCTTCTTTCTTCCTGGGAGCAAGCAGCTTGTGGGTTTGAACCACTAACCCTGCAGTTAACTGCCAAACGCCTAATCCACAGTGCCACTGAGGATCCTTTAAATCAGCATAGTCTGCACTGAAACCAATCCAGGAACCAATGAGCTTATGAAGACAAAAGGGTTAGCCTTGGTGAGAAAAAGGGAGAAATGGATGGAAGTCTTAGATCTACTTGCTTTAAAAAAAAAAAAAATCAGTCACTGAAAAGACTACGAAGCTCTACTCTGACACATGGGTTGGCCCATGTCAGAGTTCACTGCATGGGAACTGGGTTTAAACTGCTACTACAGTGTGTGTGTGTGTGTGTGTGGGGGGATCTATACAGTAACAAAGCAGGATAAACATTTTCTTCCATGTAATAGTTTGTCTAGGGCTTCTTAGGCATTGAGCTTTACCAGGTAACCCAGGGCCCAAATCCCTTCCTGGTTACTGAAGGCCCTTGCTGCGTTATTCCTGTCCTCTGGGTCTAAGTTGGCTCCCCACAGTTGGCTCCAGCCTGCATGAAAGGGGAGGAGGAAGCAGGGGGTACCACCACTTTTAATGTCTCTGTGGAACAAATAGTTTAACATTTGCAGAAAGTCACAGATGATACACTCAGGACAGACCTGACATCCTGTATGCGTATCACTTATTAATCTATATTTCATCATCCCGTCTCATTTAGTAGCTCTTCACTGAGAAGGGGACTTCCGTTTGTCCATCCCGATCCTAATATTTAGCTTTGGTGTCCAATATAGGCGCATCTCACGTGGAAATTTGAAACGTGTACCCGACAAATTTGAGCTTTATACATCCTCACTAGGTTTCCGGAATACTCACGATACCACACATGCTCAGCTAATTAATATCGGAAAATTGAGTGTGTCCCCCAGAGCTGTTGGCATTTTTAAAGAGCTGCTTCCTGGGAGAGGCGACGCTTTCCCGTGACCCGCTCGCTGTCCTTCAGATCAGACCATTTCCCGTCCTCCCTAAGCAGGTGCGCCAAGGGGTCGGGCGCGGCAAGCGTCGCCTCCATTCCTTATCCCAGTTCTTTTGTCTCCCACACACCCCTTTCTTCGGGACTCACAGCTGGTCACTTCGGCTCCGGCTCCACGGAGCTGGTTGCTAAGAGACTACGCGCCGGGAGGGTGGGGACGCTGCACTGCGAC